AATAATAATAATATTATCATCAGCAAATATAGGAAAAACAAAAATTGTAACAACAACAACAACAACAACAACAACAACAGCAACAACAACAACAACAACCAAAGACAAAAAACAACAGCAACAGCGATAGAAACCACGCAAAAATAGGAAGAGCAACTAAAATGATCACAATAACAACTGTTGCTGGTGTTATTAATAACGGAAAGAGGTAGAACAACAAGAGCAATTCACGACCACCACCATCGCCATTACCACTACCTCTAAAAACAACAACAATAACGACAACAGCAATAACAAGAACAACAACAACGACGACGACGACCTCCAAGAAGAACCATAACACATCACGAAAAGGGGAGAGTACTCACCAAACATCTCGACCACCATGCCGAGGGGCATCACCAGCAAGGAGACTAAGAAATCCGCGATAGCCAGAGACATGAGGAAATAGTTGGTCATATTCTGAAGACGTTTCTCCCAGCACACAGCCAAACAGACCAGCAAATTCCCCACTGCCGTACACAATATGATCAGTGTGAGACCCAGCATGCCCCACTGCAAGGGCCGCTCCTCGGATACATCCGCTGACGTCATAGGAGTTGTCATGTTGGCATTTCGGGGTCCTCCGACGAACACGATGCTGTTGTTAGGATTGTAAAGGTTGTTGTTATTATTATTATTGTTGTTGTTGTTGTTGTTGTTGTTGTTGTTGTGAAGCTCTGTGTTGCCTTTAATGGCGCTATTATCGAGGTTGTTACTGCTACTGTTGTTGTTGTTGTAGTTGTTGTTGCTGGTGAGGACGTAATTGTTCAGCCGAGACAAGCCAACTACCTTCTCACCGCTGATGCTGATACTGTTGTTGCTGTTATTGATGTTATTGTTGTTATTGTAGTTGTTGTTGTTGTTATTGTTGTTGTTAGTTTTGTCAGTGATTGCGGGGCTGAAGCTGGGACTACCTCCACGGTGAAGCCCGTCTGCGCTCCCTGATGTGTACGTCATCGCAGGAAGTCCTGACGTCATCACAGATAATGCTGTCGTCACTCGCGCCATTAGGACAACGAGGCGTGTACAGGCGGCTGTCATGGAATCGAGCGGTGGGTGGTTCACGTCAAGGGGAGGTAAAACAAGTTCCCCAAAGAGAACATTCTTATGTTTACTTGATTCTTTAAAAAGTAATCACTCTAGAAACACATTTTGTTACATTAATTTTTGTTTGTTTCGAATAGCATCACTCTACAAACCCGTATTTACAACATATCTTTTTGTGAGTTCGAAAAATCTCAAGTTTCATCTCTTTGTAAAACGTTAACATTTAGTAAGCAGCCTTCAATAACAATCCGATAACAGCACATTGTCCCTTCACACATAATATGTTACTTCGTGTGTACAAAAGTTTCACAAAAACACCGTTGCCTACTTCTTGTCCTTTCGGACATCTGGACGGAAATACGACTCATGTTCTTGACGTGGCGAGAAATGTTTCCTGAACTGCTCTACCAACAGACAGACGAGAAAAACTCCTACACGTCGAGATCATTCTCTGAGCGTGGGTCGTACAATTTCAGGAGTTTTTGGAGAAGACTGGCGTGACAGGACGTTCAGAGATGTGACAGAATGTCGTCCTGATGAGGTCAGTTGCCAGATGGCGGTGGGCAGCCACTCGGGGGCGGACAGCAGGAGCGGTCAGGAAACTGACAACATGTGAAGAACTTGTTCGTCTAATCCAGGGGCTTGACGGGATGGCGTGGGAGAGCTGTGTGTGGTGTGAATGTGAGTTCCGTTCTGTGAGCGGGTGGATCAGGCTGAGATGGAGAGGGCGAGAGAGGTTGTTCACTGTGTTATATCGTTGGTATACCTGGAGTAGGATTGGGGGGGGGGGGGGGGGGGAGAAGAGAGATAAGAAACAATTAGATATACTGAATGTGAAAAGTTAGATAGATTATCGGTAGCTCTGACGTTGAGAGTCAGATAGCTGAGAAAAGTTAATGTAGATTAAGCTGAGATTGTGTATTCTCGGAGCCGTTTATTTCTAGCACGGACATAATATTTTAAAATGGCAGATAGAAGTATAGCCTTTGGGCCTTGTCAGATGATCTTAAAGCACTATGCATTATATAGATTTGTCTGGGTTGTAGGCTTGGACGAAGTACATTGCCTCCCTTTAGATCTTGACTCCCTTGATAATATCAAGTATATTATACTCATCCAAAGGAGAGGCAGGGTAAATACATTTGAAATTTAAAAAGCTGTGAATGTGTTTCTAACGATTTCAGTTGCGAAAGGGATTTTTTATTGTAAAGAAATTTCTTTTCATTTGTGATATTAAATTTAACCCGGGTGGTGGACCATTAGTCTTTGCTTTTAGGATTTTCAACAACTAAGGGATCTTTAACGTGTCCAACAAGCACACAAGATCTCTAAGATTTTCCACCCTTATCAGAGTCGACTAGGCGCTCGCTCCTACCTAGCTTATGATCAGGGGTGTGCAAGAGGAAAATGAGAGAGCGAGTGAACGAGGCAGGTTATTCTTAGGAAGAAAGGACGAGGAGGAAAAGAAACAAGAAACAGAACATAGCAGTACTATCGAGAATAAACATCTTACATTATTTTCTAAAGGCAGTAAAAGAGACATTATAATATATCGAGTCTATCTCTCTAATACATTGATTATTATCGACTGTAAAGACGCTGTTTAAGGCAATAAAGTATATCAAAAACTTTCGTCTCTGATAATAAAGTTGTGCATGTTCTTTGGAGGACAGAACAAGTAGGGTTGTTTCCTTGATTCAGAAAAGAGGATCCCGGAATAACTTCTTCACATGCTGAGATATCAGTTTGTTAGTTATTCAGCGAGTGTAATCTCCACTGTAATCTATGTGTGCTCCAGTGGAAGCTGAAAACGTCTCTGAGTGTATAGTTCTAGTGTTAGTCGGGGTAATAACAGGTGTAGAACGCATAGCGCGTGCTGTAGAACTTGGATATTTACTATTTATGCAATTGTTATTATAATAAGTATCATTATTTAGGTGATAACGACGACGACAACAACGATGACGACGACGACGACGACGA